GGAAACCAGAGTACCTGAAGGAAACCCACGTGAATGCAGGGAGACAATACAAACTTCATGCATTTACAGTAGAACCCAAAGAATTGAGCCAAGGACCACAGAACTGTGAAACGTATGTTATTGTTCAGGAAAAAAAGAATGGTTAGTAAGAAAAGAACAGCTATTCTCTGGAAACTGTTTCATTAGATACGGACATTTCTCCAATAAATAATGAGTTGCTGGAGGGGAATGTGGTTATAAACAAATATGTAATGGAAACGTTGAAAACGTGCATGTACATTTACTTTCATCTGTATCATTTGTTTGAAAACCTGAAATGGATCTAATCAGATGGTGCTCTAATAAATGTTTGTGTGTCCAGTGAGCTCTGCATAGAAAGAAAGAAAACTTCAGTTCTAAAAAAGCTGAGGGAAATTCCTTTGCTCTGCGTTCTTTGCATTACACACCTGCGATTAGATCAGATTTCGGCCTCTCAGTGGTTTAAATGCTCGTGTTGACAGCTTCAGTGTTTGTGCTGTGGATGCAGCGCAAATGACTGTAAAGCTTCTATACCCATTCTTAAAACAGCTCTGATCTGTGAAAGGAATGTACTGTATGTGCTGTAATTAAAACAATGAACAAAGCTACTGCACAGCTCTCTTTAATAACATACTTTGGTTGCAGTTCCTTTATTATTGTAATTAAATTACAGGCATCATGCTTGCCTCTTTAAAACAAAAACAAAAACAAATTTTAAATGGTCAGATACTAAAAATACAGATAAGGATCTGTATGAATGGTGTGAATGACGATCTCAGATAAGGATCTCATGAATGGGCTGAAACCTTATCTTCTTTTCAAGGAGAGCTGCTTAAAAGTAGGAAACAAAATGTACTCATTTTTAAGCTATTGTAGAAAAAAATTAAATGTTACTGAAAACTGATGATCTGTGAATCTGGGAGTTAATTATGGTCAAGTAAGACTTTATCATTTATTAAAAGGGGTGCACATCAATCATGCTGCCACAATTCTTAAACTTTAGGCAGATTGACAAGAGTTTACTTTTGTGAAGAAAAGGGGAAGAAAAATACTCCAATATTAAATACTGTAAAAGTAACCGGCATTTGCAGAGAACAACAGGACAGCAGGACCCTTCCTAACTTGACAAATTCCTATAACCCACTAACCCACTTGTCAATGACTTAGCTTTATAGTTATGACTATTACACAGGAGAATGAGGACTTGTGGACTCCAACATTTCCACTATTTCTGTTTCTTGACGATGCAAGCTCCACTATGCCATACAGGAGAGTTACCAGACACTGGACGAGCACTATGTCACTGCAAGCTCGCAGACATACACAAGGGGTCGCTGTTGTGCCAAAATCCTAGTTTAGTCAGGTGATGGCTGACTAAAGGCCACCCAAACCAATTAGGGAAACAATATCTCATTCTAACAATCAACACTCAGTATAAACCCCACACCTGGCTCCTCTGTAGCTTTCCCTCAGCCCACCGATTACCAGTAAATGCAGATACAGCCATCTTCACAGCCCTCAAACCATCCGTCAATCCAATCCAGTGTTTGTGACGTTATACCCTCTCCTGGATTCAATATCAGTCACACTTGATTCAATCAATTCAATTCAGAGAGAAATACTTCCTAAGACCTGCCTATTGCTGCTTGTAGAATATTCATTAACATTCAGAGTAAGATACAGCTCTTCTCTTGTCAAAAAAGCACACATACCCCAGTTATTATAAGAAGCTTGTGAGCCTGTTCCTCGTGTCACCAGTGCTAGACCTAAAAAGAGATTGTGAGTTTTCAAGGAAATTCTGATTAAAGCTTTTTAATATACAGTAATTCATTAATAGCTCTTGTAGAAGTAAAAGTTAGGCACCTCAACAAACAGTTTTATCCCTCCCATATTTTATACAGTAAGTATCAGTTTATTGCATGTAAACTACCTTCAGGTACTGGATACTTCATGTTGGTTATTTTAAGGAAATTAGCATAAACACATGTGGAATTGAAATGTTAAGCAAGTACAGATACATTTACTTTCTTCAGCACCATTGGTTTGCAGCTCTAAAACCTGAAATGCTGAAACTATCTATTTCTGTCCCTAATCTGATTTGGACTTCAAATTCCCCGGTTCCTAAGGAAGTCAAATTTAATTCAGCTCTTCTGTTTTCCTTTAGAAGAACAAAATGCTGAGGCAGGGGCCAAGTCAGTCTCAGGCCAGCGTTTTTGGCAGACCGAATGTAGCTTAAACTGATTCCAAGCTTTCTTTAAGCAAAGAGGGTCTTTCATCTGTTTTGCGTTCTGACTTCATTGCCTGCTAAATGCTACATTTTGTAGGCTTTTTAACTGAACTCAGAAAAGGTGGCAGCTATTCAGAAGTGCCAGTGACTCTGGGGAACACAAACTGCAGAATAAAGGACACAAATGGGCACAGAAGTTCTGGAACAAAGATGGAAAAGGAAAGAAAGTAGCATTCTCTGAAAGAGCCAAGCAACTCAAGGTTTGGATTTTTTTAAAAAATCCTCCTAATCTTTCTTGAAAGAATCTGGGCTGCTGCAGATATAGTAATCCTTTCTCAGATTCCCTCTGAAAAAAACAGACAGGTCTCTTATTATTGCAACAAAGGATTGCTCCACTGTGCTTCAGCCCTGTCTTTGAAGAAGAGTGCCTTTGTGATGTGGATCTCTTTCCAGAGATTCATGCCCTTGGAGAATTGGCACCAAGACAGCTCTGGGCACAGACACAGAATAGAAAAAAACATTGGTTCCCCTAAGATGCCCTCAAAAGATGTTCAATAGCACAGAACATGGGGTTTTAAGTGGGTTTCAAGCTTTTTTTTTTCAAGACCCCATTTCAAGAAAGCCCTAGCAATAAGAATCTATAATTGAAACATACACCAAAATGAAATTATCACAACTGTGATGAATTTGTAATTGATTACTTAAAGCAGAATGCAGGGTAACAGTGTTGATTTTGCTCCCTGACTGGGAAACAAACTGGGGACTGGGGAGTGAAAATGTCTCTTTGTTCTCTATGTCCTAAAAGATCTCTGAGGAACATCAGATGGTTCTTGAATGTACTGTAGGCATTATTTTTTGCTGTCGGCATCCAAAGATTGAGATCCATTGCCCCCCAGGTTTTTTCTAGTTGTTGTTTCTTAACTGCACTGCACACGGGCAAGTAGCAGCAGAGTCTGACGCACTCTGTGTTCAGTGTTCATTCACTGTGTTCATTTAAGTGTTACAGAAAATCTCGTTTTACGTCTGAGCTCCTTTCAGCACAGGTAAATAAAACTTTACCTGTCCCTTAAAAGAATATGTGTTTCATGCTGAATTGTTCTGTTAAAATGACAAATAGCAAATTGTTTTACTACTAAGTTAGTTAAAACTTAGTTTTGCTACTTAGTTTTCTCACAGTACATCACTAAATATCAGTCATTGCTGTGTGTATTTGTGCCATGCTCTATCCTGTACTCGGTGCTCTTTTTTATATGACCCAATGGCGTTTTCTACGAGAGTCTGTGAAATTATCTAGATATTTGTGTAAAATCAGATAAAAACTATTTAGACTCACCTGTGGACAACATGCTGCACAATTCTTTCTCATTGAAACATTGGGAGTGAGCAATGCTGATTTCATTTCATATTTATTATTAATTGAAAATTAATACATTCTCCATGTGTTACTAACATAACTGTTTCAAAATTAAAATATGATATCATAGGTTGTGCAAATATTTGATCATGTGTGCATATACGTACAATAGCTCCGATATGTTTAGATTACAGAGCACTTTTAGAATACAGGCTAGCATTAAGAAGGTACTGCAGTATTTAAACCTCAAAAACCCAAACACGGAAAGATGTATTACACATCTGCCTTATATTGTAAATATCAAAGTAAACCAACCAAGCTTCTAAATAACCAAGCTTATTTTAACACAAGAGAAAGTAAGAGAACATAGTGCAAACAAAATAACAAATGCTTATTTCCAGACGCGTGTAAGAAAGTAAAGATTGCAGATCATGGCTTTCACTGATCTGAGGTGCTTCCTATCTATTCATATCCCATAATTTAAAACCGTAATAACACCCAGGACTGTAAGGTCATGTATTTATTCTGGAAGCACTAGCACAATGTAGGGCATGTTTAATACTTTGTTGTACCTCTGCCTCTGGTCTCATACAAAACAGCAGTAGCATTATGACCTTCAAGCCCGACTTCTCTCAGAAGGTAAGAAAGACTGGACCTGGTCAGTACTGGGATGGAAGGCCTCTGTGGAACTCCAGGGTGCTGTGACAAGTGGTGTTGGGACTTTCCACCTCTGAACGAAGATTTTAAAACCAAGGCCATGGTATGGTGACCAAGAACACGATGCTACAAGAGGTGTTGTTCTTTGATTGAGCTGTTACACTGAGGCTCTGACCTCATGGTGTTTAAAAAGCCCAAAATACCTTTTCTAAAATATAGGAGTGTAAACGTCCCTCTTTAATCCATTGGTGTAACAATTTCTCATTTCTCTGCATGATCTGCTGAGTAGTGGGTCAGAGGTAAATCATAGCTGTTTGTTACAGTATGCTGAGGTAGTAGGTTAAAAGCACAATATAAGCACAAGCCATTGTTATTAGTAGTAGTATTATCACATTTCTTTCCAGGAAGTAGAATGTTTGTGAAGTGATGGATTTTTTAATTTTAAATAATATTAAATAGGAAGTATGTAGAGAAATGAAATCACAGTTGAACTGGGACATTATATTAGAAAGAAAATATTCTGAAAAAAAATAGTTTTAGAGGATTATGTTTTTTTTATTCCAGTGAAACCATTTCATAATTGATTATAACTCCTCACAAAATGATAAGAGGGTGCAGGAATTGAAGTTTTCCTCAAGTGTTCTGACGTCGAATTGCAAATGAGGTTTCTGGAATCCGCATGTGACTGAGATCAGAAGGTACTGGCCAGTGGATTAACAGAGAGTGGACAAAGGCGGGTATCCATCCACTCGGCGATGCAGAATGAGCACACCTGTTAAAAACATCCAAAGACGTTAAAGCGCGCACCTTAGTCTAAATGAAAATAACAGCAAACGCCTGATGCCAGAGAAAAGACACGTACATGTTTTCAACTTCAAAACATGATTTGATGCTCTGGCATACACCAGCAATGACAGCTACATGGGGAGTTTTAATGATTCTAGGTTTGCTGTGCAATACGGAGTCGAAGTGTTCACCTACCACTTTTTACAAAAATTGCTGGATTCGTCGTTTTCCTGGGATTTTTATTGACCTTGTCGAGTCTCAAAGAAAAGGCGCACAGCTACTGAAGTTTTACCAGGAAGACACTGCTATGAACTGTAGTAAAGCGTGCTGCCTCACAAGAAATGGTGAGTTGGTAATTGCGCATTTTCTAATCTCGGAGAACACCATTTCATTTAAAAGCGAAAGGCTTTAAAATAATTTTACGACTTGCTGTGCCAATGTCAGTCATTAAAACTACCCAATATACTAAATAAAAAATGATGTTAAATTAAGCAATGCACCTTCGGTGGGACTTCGTGCGTACCGCTCAAGGTTGGACAGTCGCCGTGTAATCTTTCAGTCAAAACTAAATAACTCATTTTCTGTTTTTATATTCAACACATACTCTTAGCTATTACTAGCTAAGCCATTATCTAGAACTAGCAAGTTTTTAAATCTAAAGTAAAGGAATCGGATCTAACAACTTTTATTTACATTTATTGATTTATTACAATTAATATGAACAATATTAATTAATATGAATTAATATGCTTTGTGTTTAACAAACTGTTTAAGGCGTGTTGTATACTTTTTTTGTTTTACATACAGTACCATTGGTTTCAGTAATTGCAAACAATTTGAAGCATGGTGAACATAAAGCTGTTTATATTTGTTTTTTTTAAATGTTGATTTTAAAAGAAACAGAAGGGAACATTCCTGTTAACTACTGTATACCTTTTATATTACAGAAATTATATTTGAAAGAATGTTTTCGTTTATGGCAGTTGGAATTGATGATATTTCACTAATGTAACAGCATTGACCAAAGCTTTCCTGTCAGTGTTTATCATTATTAGTTGCCTTTATATTTGCCTTTTTATTAATAAATTGCCTAACATACTATGTCCGCAAAGGATGTACAGTACTGTGTACTAATTATTCCAAAGTAGGACTACCATTGGATCTGTTGGGATTTCAGTATACATGAACTCTTAATGACTAAAATTGATTTAATTGGTTTTAAATGACCAATGTTTCCAACTCTTTGCCCGTTGAGTGTTGGAAATTGCCTGTAAAATATACAGGGTCTGTCCTGGAGTCCTGGAGTCTGTTATTACTGGCACACTGCATATTAAAGTAAAATGAGTAACTGGTTGACTCGGTTGTGTAGTGTCCTGAACTGGACTAAGAATAGGATTAATCTAAATACTTTGATTATTTTTAGTTCCTAAACATGTTAGAGATTGCCTTTCATAAGATCTTCAGCTTTTAAGTAGAAACAAAAACCTGCAAAGGTACCAGTTAGACAGCTTGTTTGTTCAATGAAGGTTTTTATTAAGTAAAACTTTCTTTGACTGGAAGAAAACAATCAGGTGTGTGGTGTGTGGACCCCCCAGGGTTGTCTCACTAGAATGCCATTTGAGGTTATTAAAAAACACATTTGTCTCTCTGACAGTCTCCTGTAATCTTGCGGTGTTTCATTACGAGACCACAGAGAACAGTGTCAACTGCTTCCACTTCAACTGTCCAACGCTGGAGAGCTGCATCCTGAGAAGGAGGAGCAATGTCATCCTGTACAACATTACAAAAGGTGAATAGGAACGCCAGTGTGTGCTGAATATTATTACTCCTCTTTATGGCAAAACAATGATGTCATTCCAGTCACTCTTTCAAGCTGATGTCATTACAACAAGCAGTACCAGTATTTCCATTTTTTTTATCTTTGAGTGTAGGAAGTTCTTGTGCATTATTATTTACTGTGAGTAATTTTATCATCTGCTTTAGCATAAAGCAGGTTTTAAAGAGCACAGAGTCTGGATTCAAAGAGAACATATTATCACATTGGAAATGATTCCTAAAGAAGACTCTAATACCCACCATATATTGCTAAAAAAAGAACTCTTGCATGGTTTGTATGTTTTGTATGCAATACAAAAGGAGATAATGTAATAAGAGATACTACTTATGTACAGTATAATACTGTATTCTGTATGTCTGGGCAGCTAGAAGTAATGGTTTAGTTTTGTTTGCTGTGTGGTTATAATGGTAATAAACATTATTTTAAATACAGTAGCTCCTTTAAGAGTAGCTTCTCAACTCACAGGCATGGACATCGAATAAATAAAAGACTTTCTGAAGAAGGTTTTGAGTCTGGATTTGAAAGTGCTTAGGGAAGGTGTCTATCCTTGGGGATAGAATTCCGGAGGTTTGGGGTATAGCAAAAGAATACCCTGCCATCTATAGTACAGTATGTAGACAAGCTTTGGGGATAAAGAAGAGACCAGAGTCAAATGAATAAAGGTAACGAGGTGGGTACTAGGGAGAGTGTCATACAGGTACTAAGATGCCAAGCCATGTAGAGACTTATAAGTAAGCATGGGGATTCTGAAGTCAACACAAAACCTGATAGGAAGCCAGTGCAAAGACTCCAGGACAGGAGTAATGCGATCACTTACTCCCAACCTGGTCAGAATTTTGGCTGCTAGATTTTGTATATACTGAAGTGTTTTCAGTGTGGATTTAGATACTCCACCGACACAACATAGAACATAATCCTCCAATTTTTCTGAGATGGAAGAATTATGTTTTTACAATATTTTGCACGTGTGGCTCAAATGTCAAGCCTTCATCAAATCTCACCCCCCAAGTTCTTCAATTTAGATGAAATAATTTAGCTTGACATAGTTGATGGTCAAGCTGGTCAACCATAGTTGATGATAGGTGCCAAGAAGCATGATTTCAGTCTTGTTACAATTTTAAATGAAGGAAGAGAATACAGAGACAGCCACTTCAGTGTCAGGTTTAACATGGATGTAGATTTGAGTATCATCAGCATAGAAATGAGTAACTGGCCAACGCAGGTGTATGATATTTAAGAACATGTGATCTGAATAGCTGACCAAGTGAGAACATGCGGAATGGTAGGGGGCCCAGTATTGTCACGGGTGCCAGAAAGGATGAACCGGAGAATGGCAGGAGAGCGTAAAAGACCCTATGCGTAGCGGCAAGACAGGGGTTAGCCTGGGCTCAGCTGTTCAGGAAATAGAGACCTATGCCCTCAGGTAGCGGGCGTGGGGCGACCTGGTGCTAGGCGGGTCTCTTGATATCCGAACGTTAATGCTGAGCGAAGGCAGAATGAAAGACCCGGAAATATATAGCCCCAGAGAGAGAGAGACATCGGAAGGACAGCAAAGAATCGGAAATGAGAGACAGGACAGAGAAGGAGCAACCTCTGGCTGCCGGGGGTGTGACAAGTGTGACAAACCCAGAGGAACAGCAGACTTAACAAACCGAACTTCAGCATTGAAACTCCCAAGAGAGACAAAGTGTTGATGATCAGTAAGGTACTGGAAGAGTTCAACCATTTAAGAACAATGTCAGAAACTGCATTTACAGCCTTAAGATGGGAGAGCAAGAAGTCATGGTTAATAGTGTGAAAAGCAGCCCTGGGGTCTAGGAGAATAACGATAGATAGAGAACTGGAATCAGAAGCCAGAGAAAGATCGTTAGTGACTTTAGGGCTGGTTCAGTGTTGTGTAATTGTCAGAACCCAAATTGGAAAAGTTAGTAGAAGAGGTTAGGAAAAAGATAAAAAGCTAAATCGTATGTCCAAAATATATGTATAAAAGTGTGTTTTCCTCGTTAAATGAACTTTTATTACGTGGTACTGTTCATAATTCATTCATTATTATTAATAATTTCAATATTATAAGGACCAAATAGCATGCACTCCAGATGAGGTTTGGGAATCTTATCTAATGTAAACAAGTTTTAAAACAAAAGCTTCAAAAATGAACGTTTAAGTGCAACAGGAGATTAAATGGAGAAGACTAAAGCATCAAATAAAACAAATGTGAATGCATTGGTTTACATCACTTGGGAGTTCTACCTCCTCTAGGACCAGGTGTCTTTGACCGTGGGATAAAGATTTATCCCAGGAAATGTTTTAATTAATATAGATATATCCATTGAACTGTGGGTACTGTGGGAACATGGCTTCTTCACATGGACCTTTCTGCTATGTACTGTACATCTGCAAAAAAGCCCTTTTATATGCTTCCTGACAATCAGTTTTGTGGTGTTGTCCGAGAAGAAATCCTCACATTCAAACGTGGCTTTAATGCTGGTTGCTGTGTAACAAATTTATGACAGCAATGACCAGCTCTAGTTCGTGAATGCCAGGTTCTTGCAGCGACCAGGAAAAAGGAAATAATCCATTATCCGTCCCTGATTTACCTCGTTAACTTTGTGACCTGTTAAAACACGCTTTTCCCTGACACTTATTGAGCACCTTGGAAAGATGGAATAAGTCTATCCCTAGTACTGACGATACAAAGCAGGCATCAAAATCTGTCGTAAGATTTTTGTTCATCTATTCCCACAGGCGTTGATCCAGACCTGCTTGTTTTTGGCAAGTATTTTACATCGAGCCTTCGACTGTGGCCCAACCTCTCAACCTCGAGATCCAACACCTCTGAGTCCTCATCCTTGGACAAGCGCCAGTTTCACCGGCCACCCCTTTCTTCCTTCACTTCCCAGACTTCCCCTGACATGAAGGTCTTGACATCCCCACAGCAAGCGGACTGGGGGATGAGGAAAACCACTCAAACAACCTCTATCTTTGTCAGCACACCGCAGGCCAGTGTACACAGCACAGTGAATACCTTGGCAGTGGAGGCTGTTATGGGCAATACTACACTGCAGCCGATTCTGAACACCTCCCCAGCAGGGAACCTCACAGCAGTGTCTGCTGTAACTAAGCCCTACTCCAATATTGTGGTACCAGTCAATTTTGACAGCAGCAAGCAATACCCCAATGATACCAAGGGTTATGTCATGAGGAACCACACTTCTGAGGAGGCACCTGGCCATCTGAGACCAGTCTGGGAGTTGGCCACAGGAGCGCTGCTGGCCCCAGTGATCATCTGCTCCAGCATTCTTCTGGCCTGTTGCTGCACCATCCTGTTTGCAGTAGGCTGGCGTAGCCGGAAGAGGGGTCATTACAAGACAACCTGGAGAATCAAGAGGGGCTCAATGCGTTTGATAAAGTATGTCATTGTGAGGGAAAGCTTGTGATGGGGGGGAAACCCAAGTCTCTAGTCAATAAAAAAAACATCCGGCCGAGTCCAAGCAAAACCTGGGTCTCCCACCATTTACTGCTTCCAGATCAGTCCTGTCAATGTCCTATAAACAGAATAAAGTAAATGAAAAAATAGAACAGAAAGTAAATTAAAAATATACAGTATACAATCGCTCCTTATCTTTTCATTCATGAAAGTGTGTTCTTTATCTGAGCGATATTAACTGCCGGTCCAGTATTTAGAAATGGTTGCTGTATGGAAGGAATGGGATGATTTAATGGTTCCCGAAACAGAACCTACAGTACAACTGATGATGCATCTGCAGTTAGATATGGGAAAGGAAGATCAATCCTTGATGATATTTCAGAATACACTGATGCAAAATAAAAATGCTCTAGGACCTTATATTATTTCGAATGCATGTGGTTGTGATAAACATTTCAAGAAATTTCAAGTCATCTTCACTTAAATACTTAATTCACCCAGGGGACTTGACCTTAGATCTGGAAGGACCACCCTCAGTGCCATTGACAAGAGAAGCTTTCACTTCCCATGGTAAATTTGATATACAAGTCTTTTCTGTTTGAAACGAAATCCACCTGAAAGTGCTTTCTACAGCGGGCCTTTCCGTCACACAAGATGGCGTGTGAGTTTTCCCTGAAACTGCAAAATGAAAGGCAAAGCTGTGTTGTATTCATAGATGAAGAGGCAATAATTCCAGTGTTGTGGATCAAGGAACAAGCTTGCACTGTAGCTTTAGTCTAGGAAAAGACGGTATTTGAGAAAAGAAAATCATGTCTCACAGTATTTCATTTTAGGTGGGAAAATTGTACTTTTTCATCTTCAGTTTGGGACAATCATTCTGTTGTTAGTAGACTTCCCTTCAGAAAGATTTTTAGCTGTTGTGAGAAGCACAATCTTTGTTCTGTCAATTGAGTAATACGTTAAAGTGCTCTGTTTTTTTTCTTTATTTAAAGAAGCCTTTGCACTAAATCAGTGTCAGTGTTTGTAGCTTATTCTTTAAATCACTATCTGAATGTATTAAAATGTACAGTATATACAGTGCCTTGCGAAAGTATTCGGCCCCCTTGAACTTTTCAACCTTTTGCCACATTTCAGGCTTCAAACATAAAGATATAAATTTTTTAT